CTCTCCCTCTCTCTCTCTCTCTCCCTCTCTCCCTCTCCCTCCAGATAGCAGATATCCTCCTTGATTATTATGTAGTACACTCCTGTCGGAAATTCACCACTGAGCCGACACATAAATTATCCCAATAATTTGCCTGTCAGGGAAAATGGTTAGAGAAAGAAGAACCTGGTGTTTCTATTAAAAAAAACTCCTAAGGATTTTTCAGTTTGGAGAGAGAAAAGCTGAATATCAAACATGAAAATAATAAACATTTTAGATTTATTAAACGGAACAAAAAAAATAATTATTCAAATTGAATAGAAATGTAAAAAAATTAATCTAAAACTTAAACTAAAATTACAATGAAAACTGAAAATCTAAATATAAAACTGGCTTGGTAACTGCAATTATCTTACTGTTTGGATAATAAACAATATTACTTTGAATAAACAGTAAGATAATTGCAGTTACCAATTATCTTACTGTTTGGATAATAAACAATATTACTTTGAATAAACAGTAAGATAATTGCAGTTACCAATTATCTTACTGTTTGGATAATAAACAATATTACTTTGAATAAACAGTAAGATAATTGCAGTTACCAATTATCTTACTGTTTGGATAATAAACAATATTACTTTGAATAAACAGTAAGATAATTGCAGTTACCAAGCCAGTTTTATATTTAGATTTTCAGTTTTCATTGTAATTTTAGTTTAAGTTTTAGATTAATTTTTTTACATTTCTATTCAATTTGAATAATTATTTTTTTTGTTCCGTTTAATAAATCTAAAATGTTTATTATTTTCATGTTTGATATTCAGCTTTTCTCTCTCCAAACTGAAAAATCCTTAGGAGTTTTTTTTAATAGAAACACCAGGTTCTTCTTTCTCTAACCATTTTCCCTGACAGGCAAATTATTGGGATAATTTATGTGTCGGCTCAGTGGTGAATTTCCGACAGGAGTGTACTACATAATAATCAAGGAGGATATCTGCTATCTGGAGGGAGAGGGAGAGAGGGAGAGAGAGAGAGAGAGGGAGAGCGAGAGCGCGAGAGAGAGAGAGGGAGAGCGAGAGAGCGAGAGAGAGAGAGCGAGAGAGAGAGGGAGGGAGAGAGGGAGAGAGAGAGGGAGGGCGAGAGCGAGAGAGAGAGAGAGAGAGAGAGAGAGAGGGAGAGCGAGAGAGAGAGAGAGAGAGAGAGAGAGAGAGAGAGAGAGGGAGAGCGAGAGAGAAAGAGAGAGAGAGAGAGAGAGAGAGACGATGACATTTGTGAGAAACAGACAAGAGGACATGAAGCTGAATTACTACCATTGAGAATAATTGTTACAGCAGATGTGGTGGCCAGAGATTCAGAGAAAGATGATCAGAACAACAGAACAGACTGTACAAATGAGGACATAAACAAAGGGTAGATTACATCAGAATAATAATGAGACGTGAAAAAAGCAAGTGTGGGCAGTGGATTTCATGGTTGGGACATCCTGGAGGCCTCTGGGCCACTGCACACTGGGGCAATTGGGCGAGAAAAGATGTGCTGTCAGGTTGGGAAACGTGAGTAATGAAGTATACACACAAATCTTGGAGTCATGGGCCATGTCCCACTTAGAGAGAGGTGGTCTACACCATGCATCATTATGAGCAAGTCCCACAATTCAATAACATGTAGTTTCTTGTACTACAAAGAACTAAAATACATTTGCATGATGTCAGGAGACTGTCAAACCACATACTAATACTAACAAAGAAAACTGACATTATATGGAATAGATCAGCGTGAACATTTCTCAAAATTTCTCCATTTGTATTCCACAGAAAAAAGAAACTCATATGAGTTCAGAACGGTGAGGATGAGTACATCTTTACAGAATATTCATTTTTTGGGGTGAACTGTCCCTACAACAAGTATACAAGTCAATGTGAACATTTTGTGCTCTGTAAGTGCCTTGGGTTTAATATTTTAGCAACAAAATAACCTCTTTCCTTTTATAGCGAAGTCAAAGCACGGCAGAGAGGTTTTCCACAAAGGACCAAACATTCAGCCACAATGACAGCACACAGTGTCATCTCAGGTGATGTTTTGCTCTTACGGCTAGTTTACACTGACACAACAAGTACCAGCATATACCAAATTTTGTTGAACATTACAATTGTTTCATTCCAACATTCTGAATCTAATAGCCAATTTTAAAATGACTTAAATGCTGCCAGTTGTTGGCACAGTGAAGTCAAGTTCTTGCATATCCAAAATGCACAATGGTGCCGACGCTGATGGCTGCCTCCGTGGCGTGCTCTGCAGTTGTTTTTATGTTTTTGTTAGTTTGTCCTGTCTTTAGTTATATCCCTGCAATCAGTTTCACCAGAGACGAATTGCTGGACATTCGGAAGTACACACCACCCGATATTTCACCGGTTTTCGACTATTCGGATGTTTTGCTGGACATTGTTGTCGGGAGAGCTGTGGCGCTGATCAAGCGCTTCAGGACCCCTCAGGCCATCCATCTCATGAATACTTGACAATAACTGTGGAAGACACACTATTTATTCACTCATACACTTATTTATCTAACACTCATACTCAGTCTACATTTCAATTTGCACATAATATACCTGTACATACAACTGTCTATTGTTATATACCTGTACATACAATTGTCGATTTGTATATTTTTATTCCTTAGTTACTTGTTCTATTTTTCTATTTTTTATTATCTGTGTTTTTGTTCTGTCACTGTCATTCTGTTACACTGTGGAGCTTCTGTCATGAAAACAAATTCCTCGTATGTGTAAACATACCTGGCAATAAAAACTCATTCTGATTCTGATATCCTGCGCTTCCCTGAATTTCTACATTATTGCAGAGAGACCAGGACAAGGTGCCTGGACACTAAAGCCTAAAAACAAAAACAAAAAACAACAAAAAGAAAGGCATAAGAACATACAAAACACAAGCCGAGGGCTTACCGAGGTTGTACCAGACGTCCATTTCTCCACTCAGCGTGCGAACCTCAATGATGCTTTGGCCCAGGAAGTCATCAGATTCCCTCTTCAAGCGCTGCTTCACTCGCGACTTTATGTCGTCATCTTCATCCCAAACACGAACTTTGATGCGATCAGAGGAGTTGTGGCATTCACTGGAAGACAACACAGATCTTCACAATCTTTGTTGAAGATCAGAAACTATGTGCATCTCATTTTGATGCGCCCTCCGGAGGTTACATTTGTCAGCCACATATATCAAGTATGTCTTAAGAAAAGTAAACATAAATTTTACTATTATTCCTTGCGAGTATTTTTTTTGTTTTTGGACATTTTTAATAACACTTTTTTTTGAAGAACCAATTCTCACTATTAACTAACTGCTTATTAGCATGCATATTACTAAGATATTGGCTGTTTATTAGTACTTATAAAGCACAAATTAATGCCTTATTCTGCATGACCATATTTTAGATCCTTAATCGTACCCTTTACCTAAACATAACCACTTTACTAACTATTAATAAGCAGCAAATTAGGAGTTTATTGAGGCAAAAGTCATAGTTCATAGTTAATTACTAGTTAGAACCAGGGGCGGATTTAGTGATTTGGGGGCCCCAGGCAAAATACAGGAATGTGGCCCTATACAATTTCACACATTTACAACCTTGAGGTTTCTTTCACTGTTGCTCGCTGCTGCACGACCGTGTCCCATAGTTGTGTCTAATCTTTTAGATTGTTCATGTACATGTTATAAATAAAGGATTTCTTTAATGTTGTAAATCCCTTGTTCACATTTAAACAGGTTTTAATAGTATTAGAGTAGGTTGGACACTAGGTGGTGCTTTGAAGTAATTTTCACTATGCAATTGTCTAATTCTAAACTTTAAAATATACATTTATTTTTTATTTATTTTAATTGCACATTTAAATTAAACTGCAGGGAAATTATAAATTTACATGCTTAAGGATTATTTCAACCAAACATGAAGTGTGCCTGTGTGGAAAGGGACTGTGCATGGTCCTTCTTGGGTCTTTCACAAAAACAAGTGAGCGCCATTTAAAAAAATTAAAATAGGCCCTATATAATATGCACTGTTGCTTAGTATTAAAAGTATAGCTTCAGATGCATGATAT